TCAGTGTTTGAGTAAACATGATCTCTATTCTTTGTTTTATCCCTGGACATGATAAAAAAAAAGAGAGAGAGAGAGAGAGAGAGAAAATGTGACTAAATAGCAACTCAGATCGGGTCTTCTCCCTGACCTCTGGGGCAGATCTCCCTGGTCCAGGATCTCTTTGATCTGGAATTTTTTTTTAAGAAAAGCCTGAGGAAAGGAAATGATTCCCCAGGGAAGCCACAGCCTCTGTGCCAACTCAGCCCTTTCCATGACCCCTGAACTGCATTTTAAGAAGATGAAAAGAAAAGAAAAAAAATAGCTAAATCTATGCCCTGAGGAAAGAAGGACAGGTGTGCTTCTAACTCCACAGTGTGATAACAACACTCTTCCCCCTCCTGCCTTGTGTCGATGCGTGTCATATGGACGAGCCAGCTGTGCTGGGTGCAGGGAGTACCAGGATGGGTGAGCCCCAGGCTTGTCCTTTAAGGGGCCCAGCCTAGGCAACTCCAGCAGAATTCACAAACCCCTCTGAAGCCATTGCTCTTTCCACTGTCTAGTGCAAGGTGGTGAGATTATTCAGTAAAAAACCAGCCTTTAAACACCCCACAGACTGTGCATGTGACTAAGGAATCATAAAATACGTTCAGGCTACATACCCCACTCTGTAGCCAGGGAGGGGAGAGAGGGAAACTCTTTGAGTTTGATTTGACCTTTAAATTAAACAGAAAGCACCAAATTCTAAGCACCAAATTCTCCTGACAATGTCACCTGCAGTCCTTGCTGGAACCACAAGTAAACTGCCTCTTTGAGTTTGATTTGACCTTTAAATTAAACAGAAAGCACCAAATTCTCCTGACAATGTCACCTGCAGTCCTTGCTGGAACCACAAGTAAACTGCCCTCCAGCTACGCCTTTGACTCAGAAGCTGTATTTCTGGTAATGTGAGGCCCTGGTACTTCATTCCTCTCTCCTCTGTGTCTTATCAGCTGTGGCACGTGTAACTGTGCCCCACCCAGAGCAAATATAAGAAAAATGTAAATAAGACCTCTAATCAGTCACCTACCTCAACTCAAACCCTCCCTTTCTTCTGCACTCTCCCTTTTACTTTGTAGAGCAAAAACACAAATTGGGGGCAGAGCACTGGGAAAGATCAGTGCCTCCCAATGCGCCCACCCAGGAACTTCCCAGAGGCCACCGTCTATAGCTGTCACCCAACACTATGTCCCGCCCTCTGCTGTCTACATGGTCTTCCGGTAGGAGTTCATCCACTTGGAAGATTCTCATGCACACCAACTCTGTCCAGGTCCCACATTCGCATTTCCACCCTCCCTCTTGTGTTTCCTCCTACCCTGCCAGACCTCTCTGAGTAAGTGACTGGCTGCCACGCTAAACTGAAAAGCCTTCTTTGACTCACTCCCTCCTGATACCTGCAAAACCCAAATCACTCTTAGGGCAGCAGGCTTGCCAGCCTCTGTGGCTCCCGCCAGTCCTCCAGCAACTGATCCTAAATGCAAGTATCATTCTCCTGTGGTGGCTGTTGCTCAGCTCCTGGAGCCACAGGTGGTCATCTCCCTGGCATCGCGGACATGACGATCTACAGCCACTGCCCCTTCTTAGTTTCCCTCTCCTCTTCTCCGACTTCCCTTGCTACACCTGTAGCCCTTCACCTTGTCTTATAAAGAGTGGAAAGGCAGGGCTGGAGATGTAAACCAAAAGTCAGAAGGAGGAGCAGAAATAAAGCAGAAAGCAGAAGACAGCGGCCTTGAGATGCAGCTTCAGAGCAAGAACACAGAGTCCAAACACATCAGACATGGGGACTCACAGAGAAGTGGGGGCATGGAAGAGAGGGTGTCTTGGGGAGGGTCGGAGCTGCCTGCTGAGTCCTGCTGATGGTGGTAGGAGGAGCTACTGTGCCACCACTGCCACCAAAACAGGAATCCAAACAGGTACCCTTCCCCCAACTCCCACCTCCACAACCCAGACTTTGTTTAAAGTATTTCCATCCTTTAGGAGAAAGACCAGACAGTCCTTAATTATCATATTTTGAGACCCAATTTAGCCCCATATCAACTTTCTCTTCAGCTTCAATTTGTCCCAAACTCCACCCTCAGGTCACTGGGCTTCTTTACTTTATCAAACTCACCAGCTCTTTCTGGCCCCAGGGCCTTTGCACAGGCTGTGACCAGCCTAGAGTGCCAGTTGTACTGGCTCCTCAACTCCTGCCCAGTAATCTGCTCCTCAGGGAAGTCTTCCCAGGCCCCCTATTCAGACCAAATTATCCCATAATGGGCTCTCAAAGCAGGGAAGCGTCTTTGAGGCAGTTGTCACAGGCTTGGTTTTGTGTTTATTTTTGCTCTCACATGGAGGTTGCCCTTGGCTGTTCAGAGCCAAGTCTACAAAGGAAAATGAATGCACCCATATGACTTTCCAAGACAAACATAGATGGGCTCAGTCTCTTGGAATGGACCCCATCTCCCTGGGGCTCTAGAAAGAGCCCGTATTAGTCTCCCCTCTTGAAATAACCACCTCCAGGCCTTGAATCAAAGCCTCTCTGCCCGCAAAACAGTACTTAAGACTCAACTTCTTCAGAAAAAAAATTACTCAGAAAAACTGGACCCAGAGCTTGCCAGTTGCCCACCAAACCTTTGGGAGAGTTTCTTGCAGCCATGGCTAAAATAGGCCTGCATGGCGCCCTATTCCTAAAATGTGCATTGGGGGTGGTTTGTCAGCCACAATCAGTTCATAAGTTCTGCACAAGCAGGGGCCGTGTTTTCCTCTCCACTCTACAGACAAATGTTTGACAAGCACCTACTAAATGCTTGGCATTGCAAACTGTAAGGCAGGGGCTTCCAAACACCTTTGCCCCCAAATACTTTTTTAACACCACAGTCTGGTGCTCATAGACTTAATGTGTAAATATACCCAAAACCAAAATTTCATGAAATGGTCACAACACACTCATATTTCCTATTCCGTTATATTTTTTTTCAATGTTGTCATGACCGGACTTTTAAAAACACTGTCTAGCCATCCAAAATAGAGTATGTGTTGTATAAAGAACAAAACAAGCAAAACTTGTCTATGCAGTTAGAAGTCAGAATAATGGTCTTTTGGGGGAGTGGGGAGGGGAGTAACTCAGAGGGAGCTGTTCACGGGGTGTTCCTAGTGTCAGCATGTGTGAAAATTCATCAAGCTGCACCTTCACGGCATTGTGCACTTTTCCGGGTGGGCGTTATTCTTCAACACAATGCCTTCAAGCTTCTGCAATAAGGAATACAGGAGGGCTTTATAACCTAGTTAGGAAAACAAGACTAACTCCCCTGAAGCAATGGAAACTGGACAAGACCTAATTAAACTAAAGCTGGTTGTATAAACTTTAGTTACTCCAGTAACCCCACAGTCCACATGCTCTGTCTCCTGCAAAACAGACTCTGGCCGAGAGACCCAGGCTTCGGACACCCTTGAGTCCATTCCAAGGGACACCCCGGGAGAGTTCAGGGATGACAAGGAGCTGTTCTGAGGAACAGGGAGGGGTCCCATGCAACAGATCCCTCTCCCATCAATAAATGGAAACTTGGGTTTTCACCCTGAAAATTGCAAGGGTCAGGACGACTTTGGGAGGAGGTGAGCCTGAGCTGGGCCTTCCTTGAAGGCCAGATGGACACT